AGGACTATGAAACAGAAGCCCCAGGTCACAAGGCAATGATTTGTTCTTAGTCTCATTAAATCAAGCACCTATTCATGCTTCTACAAACCTGGTCACTGATTTAAAGGGTTGTACTGCAATAGGAACAAGACCGTTTGCCTTTGCTCCTGGGAAAATTCTACAATCATATGTTGTGTTATTTCAAAATGGCTTTTAGGAATCACAGTAACTCAGCCACAAAGTGGAAGAAAAAAAGTTAAAAAGCAGGGGTCGCCAAGTGGTTAGAGCCATAGTGCTTTAAAGTTCTCTCTATTACCCAAACTCTGCTGACTCAGTAACTGCAGAAATCTTAAACTATGGCATTACCATCAGCCATCAGCAAAAATAAAAACAAAAAAAAACATGGTGCACTGTGGGTTTCTAAGACTGAGGAATTACTTTATTTTTTTTAAATTTTCACCATATGCCAAAAAGTAGGCTGGCTGATCAAAATTTAAAATTGAGAAAACACAAAATTCAATAAATAAAAGGGCATAAAACAAATAGTAGGCTGTAGGGACATTTTCAGGCAATCACATGTCTTTGAAATGGAACCCTGTTGGGCCTCAGTCACCACAGAAACACAGGAAGAGGAAGTTCGTACAAAAGAATATACCCTCAATTTAGTCTGATGCTCATGCAGTCAACAGCAAGACAGCATGGAGGTCAGATTTCCCACCAGCAGAATTTGTGAGTACTGACATTGTCTTAAAAAAATACATGTATAGACTGAAGGGCAAATTAATATATCCAAAATACACCCATATATTTGCATGTATTTTTATGTTGAGCTGTTTGTAACAGCTCACTAATAAATGCATAGGACTTATTATTAATGATGCAAAAAAACATGGTAATGCTTTATAACATGAACCATAAATAAGGTGCAAGTACCCTATTCTAACGTGCATTTTGCAGACAACAAGGCACAAATACACCGTACTTACATGCAGTTTGCAAGCAACAAGTCAGGTTTTTGCATGAAGCAATGAACAAAGTACACTGTAAGTGCAACTGTTTTTGAAGTCAACGATGAAACAAGTAGATTACTGTGTACTTTCTAAAATGTGAGCCATATTACGGAGTCACCTGCAAGACCCCCGAAACAATTAAACAATTACACTGTAGCACACATGACTAAGGCTCAAGTAGCCTGTAATTTCATGAAATATGAAATATTTCAATAATAACATAAAATCTAACTAGGTAATTTTAATACTGGGTGATTTCATGGTAAAATCCTGAGAAAAAACCCCAACAACTATATTTCTCCATCTTAAATCTTCTGCCTGTACTTTCCTGCAAAATGCAAGTAAATACAGGGTACTTGCGCTTTATTAGCTGGTTGTGTTAAAAAGTGTTATCAAAAACACTGACAAAAATATTAAATGTTAAAAGTCTCATTCTTAACCTTTTCAGTGCTGAATGTTCTTTTGCTGTTGGGTATAGTAGCTGAATTCAGTGATTCTCAAACACATAGTAAGTTTTTAATTATTCATGTTGTTTTTTTGTGTTTTTTTAAGTGTCTGTGTGTGTGTGTGTGGAGGTAATAGTGTGTGTAATAGATTTTATAATCTCTTAACAATCTGAATGTTTTTGAAACTAATGCAGTTGTTGTTTTCCAGCTAAAAAAAAAAAATAGTGCTACAACATAAACCTCTAAAACAGTTCTGAAATAGCCCTTTGTGTGTGTGTGTGTGTGTGTGTGTGTGTGTGTGTGTGTGTGTGTGTGTGTGTGATATTTGAATATATGGAATGAAATTTGTATATATATATAGAATCATCTTCTGAATATATTTAATGATAAGTGACATTAAATTTGTTTGCATTTATCTTGGCCTTTCTGACTTATCTTGGATGTAAAATGGTATAACGGTTTCAGTGATATGGTATTATGTGTTATCATGTGCTTCAGCTTCTGCTTGACCAGTTATCTCAGTTGGCATCTCCATCTTTGATTGATAATTTATCTCAAGTATTGTGCAAAATCTTCTCTTCGTTTGAACAGCTGTCACAAAACAGTTGTCAAACTCTTCAAACTACTGAAATAGTTCTGCTGTTGCCATTTTGTAAAGGCAGATAATTCAGAAAACCTCAACTCTAAACATGAGGTTCACTCATTCTATATATCCAAGTTTTATTCTATATATTCAGACATCGACAGACGAGTCTTTATTTGATTTTCTGTCTCAGGTTCAGGTTTTCCTCAAGTTGCTCCAAACAGGCAGCAGTTCTTTCTATCAGAGCCTATCACTATCAGCTGTGAAGGGCTAAATGGGCTGACTGGATGGAGAGTGATGAAAAAGATAAATGGAGAT